CGGCGGGTTCCCCGGCGGGCTGGTGAACTGCACGTCGCTGGAGGTGCTCAACCTCAGCTGCTCCGGCGTGTCGGGCGCCGTGCCGGACCTGTCGCGGATGCCGGCGCTGCGGGTGCTCGACGTGTCCAACAACTACTTCTCCGGCGCGTTCCCGACGTCGATCGCCAACGTCACCACGCTCGAGGTGGCCAACTTCAACGAGAACCCCGGGTTCGACATCTGGTGGCCGCCGGAGTCGCTGATGGCGCTGCGGCGCCTCCGCGTGCTCATCCTGTCGACGACGTGCATGCACGGCGGCGTCCCGGCGTGGCTCGGGAACATGACGTCGCTCACCGACCTGGAACTCAGCGGCAACCTCCTCACCGGCCACATCCCGCTGTCGCTGGCGCGCCTCCCAAACCTGCAGCTGCTCGAGCTCTACTACAACCTGCTTGAGGGCGTCGTCCCCGCCGAGCTCGGCAACCTCACGCAGCTCACCGACATCGACCTCTCCGAGAACAACCTCACCGGCGGCATCCCGGAGTCCATCTGCGCGCTGCCTCGCCTCCGCGTGCTCCAGATGTACACCAACAAGCTCACCGGCGCCATCCCGGCCGTGCTCGGCAACTCCACGCAGCTCCGCATCCTGTCCGTCTACCGCAACCAGCTCACCGGCGAGCTCCCCGCCGACCTCGGCCGCTACTCCGGCTTCAACGTGCTGGAGGTGTCGGAGAACCAGCTCACCGGCCCGCTGCCGCCGTACGCCTGCGCCAACGGCCAGCTCCAGTACATCCTCGTGCTCAGCAACCTCCTCACCGGCGCCATCCCGGCGTCGTACGCCGCGTGCCGGCCGCTGCTCCGCTTCCGCGTCAGCAACAACCACCTCGACGGCGACGTCCCCGCGGGCATCTTCGCGCTCCCGCACGCCTCCATCATCGACCTCTCCTACAACCACCTCACCGGGCCAGTGCCGGCCACCATCGCCGGCGCCACCAACCTGACGTCGCTGTTCGCGTCGAACAACCGCATGTCGGGGGTCCTGCCGCCGGAGATCGCCGGCGCGGCGACGCTGGTCAAGATCGACCTGAGCAACAACCAGATCGGCGGGGCGATCCCGGAGGCGGTGGGGCGGCTGAGCCGGCTGAACCAGCTGTCGCTGCAGGGCAACCGGCTGAACGGCTCCATCCCGGCGACGCTCGCCGACCTCCACAGCCTGAACGTGCTGAACCTGTCGTACAATGCGCTCGCCGGCGAGATCCCGGAGGCGCTGTGCACGCTGCTGCCCAACTCGCTGGACTTCTCCAACAACAACCTGTCCGGGCCGGTGCCGCTGCAGCTGATCAGGGAGGGGCTCCTGGAGAGCGTCGCCGGCAACCCGGGGCTGTGCGTGGCGTTCCGGCTGAACCTCACCGACCCGGCGCTGCCGCTGTGCCCCAAGCCGGCGAGGCTGCGGATGCGGGGGCTCGCCGGGAGCGTGTGGGTGGTGGCGGTGTGCGCGCTGGTGTGCGTGGTGGCGACGCTGGCGCTGGCGAGGCGGTGGGTGCTGCGGGCGCGGCAGGACGGGGAGCACGACGGGCTCCCGACGTCGCCGGCGTCGAGCTCGTCGTACGACGTGACGAGCTTCCACAAGCTGAGCTTCGACCAGCACGAGATCGTGGAGGCGCTGATCGACAAGAACATCGTCGGCCACGGCGGCTCCGGCACGGTGTACAAGATCGAGCTGAGCAACGGCGAGCTGGTCGCCGTGAAGAAGCTGTGGGTGTCGCGGCGGTCCAAGCAGGAGCACGGCCATGGCGGCGGCGGGGGGTGCCTCGACCGCGAGCTGCGGACGGAGGTGGAGACGCTGGGCAGCATCCGGCACAAGAACATCGTGAAGCTCTACTGCTGCTACTCCGGCGCCGACAGCAACCTGCTGGTGTACGAGTACATGCCCAACGGCAACCTATGGGACGCGCTCCACGGCGGCGGCGGGTGGGGCTTCGGCTTCCTGGACTGGCCGACGCGCCACCGCGTCGCGCTCGGCGTCGCCCAGGGCCTCGCCTACCTCCACCACGACCTCCTCTTCCCCATCGTCCACCGCGACATCAAGTCCTCCAACATCCTCCTCGACGCCGACTTCGAGCCCAAGGTCGCCGACTTCGGCATCGCCAAGGTCCTCCAGGCCCGCGGCGATCGCGACGCCTCCACCACCACCATCGCCGGCACCTACGGCTACCTCGCTCCAGGTAACACATCCATCAATTGTCCGTCTTTTCTCATCAGCTTAAACTTTTAGATTGAGCTGTTAATCTTTTCTTATCAGTTTAACCTCTGATCAGTTGTTTGTCTTTTCATATCAGTTTAATCTTTTCGGTTAAACTGATTGATGGATATACATATGTATATGTATTCTTATCGGTTTAAACTTTTTGGTTAAAATTTTGAGTTGAACTGATTGGTGCATGCATACAGAGTACGCCTACTCGTCAAAGGCGACGACAAAGTGCGACGTGTACAGCTTCGGGGTGGTGCTAATGGAGCTGGCGACGGGGAAGAAGCCGATCGAGCCGGAGTTCGGCGACACGAGGGACATCGTGCAGTGGGTCTCCGGCAAGGTGGCCGCCGGCGGCGAGGGCGAGGCGCTGGACAAGCGGCTCGAGTGGAGCCCCTTCAAGGAGGAGATGGTGCAGGCTCTCCGCGTCGCCGTCCGCTGCACCTGCAGCATCCCCGGCCTCCGCCCCACCATGGCCGACGTCGTGCAGATGCTCGCCGAGGCCGGCCCCGCCGCCGGCCGGACCGCCAAGGACGCCGCCAACAAGAAGGACTCCTCCGGCGAGCCAAAGCTGTAATAATCATCTTTAATCTAGCTAATGCGTGCAAACGTACTGTGTAATTATCCGGCCGGATTAGTAGCTAGTGATCATAAGCAAGAAGAGAGATTGTTCATGAGCTAGCTAGCTCCAACTAATTAATTAGGGGGAAAATATTAATTACTACTAATTATATTTACATGTAATAATACTAATTATGTAGATAGAATCATAAGAGGCAAGTTGCAAAGGTTGTTCGCTCTTGCACTAGGGGATATATATGGCTAGTATTTGTAGAGTCGTAGCTGCCTTTTTGTTTTTTTGGGTTTGGGTCACGTACCATTCACATATACTGCTTGGTGTTTAAGCAGAATCTGATGCTCTCAGTGGATGGACCAATATAAAAATATATATATCAAATATATGTATACATGGATGCAAATATATATACTATATATTAATTAGTGCATTCAGCTTTGAAATGTTCCTTTCTCTTTGCATCGATGGAGACCTTTTCATTTCTTTCTTTGTTTTCCTCTCCAACCTTTTGTTTTTGCTGAGTGAGTGAGGTGACAGCGTGGAGCATGAACTGAAGGGAAACTCTTTTAATCTCTCAAGGAGATGCTCCCTCTTTTTTGGTATGTTTTACAAATAGTTATGAAAAAATATCTAACAAGTTGGATTAATATGCAGTATATCACTTCACAAACACATAAGTTTAAATTTGAATTCTATATTTTTTTTTAAAAAAATACGATTGTGAGCACATGTATGCTAGTACAAGTTTATTATGTTCCCTTTGTTACAACTTGTGGATTGAATTTAAACTTATATGTTTGTTGAGTGACATATCAAAAATCTATCTTATCATTTTTTTTCTAAATTTTCATAATTCTTTAAATAACATTTTCTCAAGGGATTAAAATTTCTGAACTAAAGCTAAGATGATAACGAGTCCCCTTTTTTTTCCTTTTTTCAGCTGAGGAAAATTCATTCATGGAAGAAGTTTTTGGCCGCAAGTGTAGTGTACATGTGCAGTTGAAAAGGTAGTTAGATTCTGTTTGTGGGGCCCCAACAGTGACGTGGCAGTGAGTGCATTGCATATTTGCATGATACAAGGGAATGATTAGCGTACGAGTGCCATGGAAGTTGACTCAGCCTATTATAAATTTATAATAGGTTCATGATTAGTGCCACTGTGGCATCCAAGTCACTAATCTTGTAATCCACGTGCCAAAATTCTGGCATAATGAGACATCAAATTACTTAAAAAGAAATCTTAAGAAGCGTATGAAAAGTTGTTATCTCTCATATATTTAAATAAAGTTACACACAATAAAAATAATAATGGTTCCTTGGGGCAGAGAGAGAGCGAGAGATTTTATTTTTCATTATATGACAAATAAAAATAAAATTCTTTCATGCAAAACAAACAAAACCCTCAGTTATGCTTTTGGTTACCAAGAAGCACTTTATGGTACAGTGCCATTTCAAGGGAAAAAGCTTAAAGCACTAAAGAGTAAAGCTAAAAGGATATACCACATTTTTTTTAATCTTTTCATCTATATGCCAATCACAGGATGTCTCAAAACTATTGGTGTCACTTTCATTGCTTCATTTTCATATAGCTTACATGATTTTGTAGCCAGATTATGGAATCCCACAACCAGAAGTCCCTTTTCTGTAAAGAATGTGCATGTAATCACTCAATTTATGGCAATTCTAATGTCTTAGAGAAACTCAAATTTCTTACCTTCTTTTCTGAAAAAAATAGGGAATTTTCATAATACTTCAGATCAGATTGTGCTCTGCCCTAAGGTACCCTTTCATAAACAGGCATATCATAACAAAGGAAAAAAAAAGCAGAAAATAGTACAGGCAACAATATGTTAAAAGAAAAAAAGTGTTTGCTAGCAAGTTGCAAGAACTTGGTGCCATAGGTATCTAAGCTTGCTAGAGCCTTTATATCATTAACCATACATAGTGGCCACGTATGCTGGACTGTGGTGTCTATAAGAAGAATCCACTAATTCAGTAAGTGGCACAAGTGCATGCAGTGTTAAATAGCAGTAGCTCACTAGTAGATTTTGCAAATTTGGTGGCCATCCTTGGTGTAGCCTCACCATGTTCATGTTGAGTAGGATGCCATTCACCAGCAGAACATGCATGCCATTTGACTTGGTGATTTATCAACAGTAAGACAAGAAAAGGTCAAGAAACATACTCATTGGATTTCAAGTTTTCAACCCATAGTCAGACTACATATCGACAAAGGTGATATTGTTCAGGACAGTGCTAAGTATGGTTCTCCACTGGAATGGGGAAGTACAAGGACAGCATTTCCAAAAAGAGTAAGAGAGGCAACATCTGATTCAGAATTTGGTCTGAATTTGACGATCCATTGGATATTGAATAAAAACACTTCACAAAATGTGACTGCTGACCTAACTCATAATTTTCATGACAACTGTAACCTGGTATCTATATTGTACAACTACTTTACTTTTGATTCAATCTCTGTTTACAGTAGCCCATTGTTTTCTATTTGTTTTGTTTATAAGGCGACAATAATCGGAGAAATGCCGAACTACTCTGCTGGAGAACAGTCCACTGTTGAGACTTTGGGACCGCCGCATTAAGTTCTAGCACAAATACACAAATGCTTCATGAATGTCGACCAAACTTCTCGACAAGCTTCTGTTCAATCTCCAGCCTTTTCTTCATCAACAACGTGTAGTTGTTCAGAAGGTCAATGTCCTCCTCCGAGTCTCCAAATGGAGCAGCCAGCTTAATGCTTAGTGATGTTCTATTCAGTCTGTCCGAGTGCAGACATGAAACAGGCACAAACTTGCCTTTCTGGTTGCAAATCCACCCATGGGCTGCTCTAAGAGCAGCACCCAGTGAGGCAGAGTCTGTATCAATTGAGCATTGCTATGTAAAGGACACAATTATGCTCACAACCAGATGGAAAACATGATAACAGCAGATTAATTCGAATCCATATGTGATGCACATGTCTTATATATACCTGGTCTTTGGACGGTGTAAACCGAGCAGCCAAAAATGGATGCCATCGTCTTGAGAATGATCTGGTTCGACGATGCTCCACCGGTCGCTATAATCCGCTTTGGAGGCACTGGCAGACCACACCTTTCAGCATGGCCCCTCATGGACAGGAACTGCCCTTCTATTATTGCACGGACCTATATCACAACTGTTAGTGAACAGCCTGAAGGAAAGTTTATTAGATCGTTTAACGACCAGTTATGGAAGTCCCCGTACTTCTGAAGGAGGATCAAACTGGTTTATCTGATGCTCCACCATCTCATCTAAAGATCCACTGGCTGAGGAGCTGACAACGTAACGGTGAAACCCAACTACAGATTTATAAGCATAGCACATGAGTAATGACATAAAAACTACACGTTGAAGGGAAATGAAATGTAAGGTCAGAAATAACCTGGAAGTGGTGGCAGAATCTCAGGCTCATTGTAGTAATATCCCAATTTTCTTCCTGGTACAAAGAAAGAAAAAGGGGGATTCAAGAATCCTCAGGAAAGCTACCTTTATGTGGTCAACGCAAGTAACTATCATGAATGGGAGGAAAGGCAACTGTGTGATAGTAACTGGCTAAACATCAATTGGATGATCTACAGTTCAAAAAAAAACATTGATGGGATTTAAAGCATAATTATACTGGCTTATCATCTTGCCAAAATGTACAAGCTTTATAAAACAGAGTTTAATATCCTTATGCTGTTTGTGATTTCTAGTGCCAATCAGCTAGCCTGTTTGTTCTAGAAATATATGGGCTGGCATCCTTTTAGTAAAATAGAAAGGAAAGAATAACTATATTGGTGTACCATTTAAAGGAGCTGTATTCTCCAAATGCTTGTTGAACACATCCCATGACCCGTCAGCATAACGATTGCGGACATCTGGTGAAAAATATAAGCATTTATAGTTTCAAAAACAAAAATATAGGCATTAGTAATGGTAAACAGTGAGATAAAAAGAATCCAAATGGTACCTTCCCGTGTTAGAGAGCCATTTTTGTAGCAAAGCATAACCATATATGTCTTGGGGTCCACTGGGTTAGGGAGGATGTTCCCATCCAGGGATGGTTCAGGTAAATCAGTTATCCCAAAAACCTGAAGGACCATAAAGGCATCAGAATAAGCAACAAGGGCTTGTTTGGCAAATGGGTTTGGGAAAAGATTTCCCACCACACCAAAGGGTAAAATTCAATCCTAGCCATTCTTTCTTTTCGCCTCATTTATTATTTCTGTTTCCCAATCCAACCTCCCATAACTCATTTGCCAAACAGGGCCCGATGGTTCATAGATGTACAGAACAACTTTGTGTTGTGAGTTGTTTTTTATTTGTGAATCCTGTATTCAGTGTAAGTACAAGTAAAACAAGGTTCAATCAGCAGTTAGTGTTATTGCCTTATTGGTAGATAAGAACTAGGTTCTAATGTATCTGTTCCCAGACATTGTTGGTACCATTGCCCTTGAAAACAAATGGAGCAGATTTTGTAAAAACAAGGTGATAGATGATTACTGTATCACTTGTCCCAAGACTGATTGCTAGATCACCAGGATCGCTCAAAGTTAAACCTGCATAATCACATAGGAGTGATCCGAAAATATTCTTTTGACCAAAGTTTCTGGCATATGCTTTGAATCAGATCATCTTTTGATTTGACCAAACAGACATGCCATATGTTGTAAGATATTAGTAGGAAAATTGGGAGAACTTATATACCTGCAAGGCTGTTGGGGTTGTCCCCTGACCACTGAACAACTAGACAGTTGCTTGAAAACTGAAATCTGATGAAAAATGAAGCATATTCATATCAGTAATTCGTCGAGTCAGACCCCAATGCAAAAGTGTCTGAAGTTAGTTTATACATATAATAATTCAATCTTGTAGTTTGATGATGTTGTTCACTATAACATAACTCCTTTTTCAAACACCAGTTTAGCAGACACTGTAAAAGGGGAGGAAAACAGATTGATCAATGGCTACCTCTGAACGAAATAAGGAGATAAAGTTCCTGCAACAGCATGCGCCGGTGCTAGCTTCCCAATCTTGTCTTCTAAATCAGGAGCAGTAGCCTACAAACTTGTAAATTGAAATGCATCAGAAGCAGTTGCCAAAAACAAAAAAAAAAAGATTGCATTTCTCAGTCTGAAAATGTGTGTTGTTGCAAGCAGCAAACCTCAAGGGCGTCCCTGCGCAACTCGCGCGTGGTGATGTCCATCAAGTTCATCCCCGCGCCGTCGGTCTCGTCGATGCAGGCGTAGCCGCCGACGAGCAGCGACGCCATGAACGAGCTCACGAGCGAGATCCTCTCGGTGTCGTCGTACACGCGCCGCCTCGCCTGGTACATCTTCCTGATCTGCGGGCCTGTGCACCGCTCGTGCGCGCGGCACCCGGTCATCCTGGCCAGCTCCAGCGCGCCGCCGACCGCCGCCTCCACCTCCCGGCACTGCGCCGCCGTGCTGCTGTCCATCCACACCGGCGACTCCGTCGTGGCGAGCGCCGCGGCGAGCTGCGGTGCCAGGCCCCTGGCCGGGTCGAGGGACGCGAGCACCGCCGCCGCGCCGCGCTTCCAGTAGACGCTGCCGTGCTGCTGCGCGCCGCCGGAGACGGCGGCGACGCGGGCGTAGTCCACCCTGGGCGCGAGCCTGGCGAGCAGCAGGTCCAGCGCCTCGGCCCACATGAGCGGCGGCGACACGACGCGGCCCGGGTCGCCGCCGGATGGGTCCCGGAGGACGCCGCCATGGGTGGCGTAGTGCGGCAGGTCGGAGTCGAAGTGGACGGCGTCGTGGGCGACGGCGGTGAGGCCGGCGTCCAGCACCGTGGCTTTCAGCGACCTACCACCATTAGCATTAGAACTAGAATTAGCATTAGCAAGCACAGGATTAGGATTAGATTTGGTTGGGAGTAAATTGGTTACTGCGTGGAGCAATCGAAGCCGAGGAAGAGGGAGTCGTCGGGGAGGCGGCAGTGATCACCATCAGCCGCCATGGCCATGGATGCTCAAGCAGTTGAGCTCAATCAGATGAAGAAGATGTGGCAGCCAGCCGATCACAACAAGAACAAAAAACAAAAGAATCCAAAAAGAATAATCAAAATGCTTTCGTTGAGAGTCGAACTCAAGACCTCCCGCTTACTAAACGGGTGCTCTAACCAACTGAGCTACGAAAGCTGCTTGTTGAAATTTGTTGGAAATCTTATCTCACCGATGCATCACCATGGTAAGGCTGCAAAGCAAACCAAGATATTCAGGTTGCAACCAAGAACAAACTATTAGTAGCATATAATCAAATCTGTTTTGATAGAGGATAATTACCGGTGGATAAGGGAAGTCATCACACACAATTCAAACAAGCAAACAGCACCTCAGCTCACCTCAGCAGGAGTAAATAAATTATCATCAGAGTAAATAGCTTCCAGAGTGCGAGTAAATAAATCATCATCAGAGTAAATAGCTTCCAGAGTGCATACTGACTGCTACTGTACTATTTTACTAGTATAGTAGAATTAGTACCAGAGAGGAGAAAGTGCAACATCAGGTTCAGGTACCTGTAAGATGGATTGGATACAGAACTTCTACCCCCCTATGGTTACAACGTTACAATTTCAAGAATTGAGCTATTATTATTGTTATGGTTTCTCATTTGTCAAGCTACAACCAATTTTTTTGATAAAAAAAATAAGGGGGCAAAGTACATAGAAATAATGTGTCACTGAACCACATGGAAAAGGCCGTCTGTGATGTTTCTTCAAGCATCCCGATTCCTACACTGTGTACATCACTGGCAAAGCAAATACTACCACTCATGACTGCTTAACAGATTGAGAACCACGAGATTTCCCATGTGAATTCCATTGAAGCAGCATCCATACAATCGATGTCCCTAAGTAAACAGAATGAATTAAACAGTTATTCAACAAAGGTTAGATATGATATTCCAGAAATGCAAGTTATGAGTTCTTGCGATCTATTTCTAACCGAAGTAACATAAATCATAATTGTTTTTTTTTTCTGTTGCTCCACAGATCAGCTTAGCTCAGCAGGAGTAACATGATAAATCATATAGGCGAACTACTTGGTGCATGAAACGAAATAATTTTCAACCTCCTTATGTAGTCCAATGAGCTTCAAGCATGTCATTTGAGTATTACAAGATAAAACTGAAGAGATGGCAAGATAACTGTTATAAAGGTGAATGCTAAGTGATTTTAAAGAGTAAGCATGCACAAGAAACCGCTAGCTGTACTGAACAAATCTTCCACTACTTAAGCACCAGAGACATCAACCTATTTGGTGTATGTACAAGCATGGTGTTTGACTGTTATTATTGACTATTGAATGTTTGAGCTGATATCATCAGTTGACATTATAGTTGCATGATAACTAAGTAGAAGGCTGAACTGAGCAAACAACACAGTCAAAACTAAATTCATTACCTGCGAAGAAGCCAACAGTGCTCAGATTTGCCACAGCCATAGTATGGTATATCAGGTACTCGGTGAGGAAATGACCAAGAGCATAGATGAAGGACAGGAAAGTGGCCAGATAGAGAGGTCTGTTTTCCAGGTTGAATGCACACAGAAAGCACAGAGTACAGGTCAAAAGTGTCCAGACCCCAAAAGTGCGACCATGTATTTCAGTCACTGCATGTAAAGAAGGCAAACGTTGTTGTATTAGCTATGTTATTATTGGAAAATGGTTTCCTCAAGTTAACTCAACAGATTAACTTAAATATGAGCCTGTTGCTGACTGTCTTAAAGAGAACATGAAACTTATAATCGAAAAGAAATAGTGGGTTGCCATGACAATTTAAATGATCCAAAACAAGGCACAAAGTGATTGATACGATGTAGAAGCATAGCAATAGCTGTCAACTTTATCTATTTTCCTAGGAATAAATTTTTTCTTTATATAATCTCATCAATTTTTTTTTGAAGGAAAAGTTAAAAAAAAAACAGAACAATTCTGCTTAGGTTACCTAAAGAAGCTGAGATCAGCTGAGAATTCATAATATACTCGTACGGTCCAATAAGAAGACCGACATGATCTCCGCTTGGAAGCAACTAGGAATTAACCAAATGTCACAAAAGAATGTTGCCATCAAGCTCACCAACCTAATGACGATGACTAATACGCAATCCTTTCAGAGATAGGCATATAAACAACCAATTTGCACATGCACATTTCTATGGTTGACTAGTAACCTTAGCTCTGTGGTTCAGTTCTGTAATCAAACTCCGATTTCCAAGACAGAACGGCAGCAAAGCCATCCTCTTGGCCCTGAAGCTGAAGGTAGTAGACAAATTTATCCAGCAGGGGAGCAAATTTCCAAGCTCACAAACCCAACCAAATTTTTACAGGACAAAAAAAAAGAAATGCAGTTTTGAGACCTATTGCAGCTCATGTGTTTCAAAAACGCTCTCAGGTGTCAGCCTTGAGGTAGAAGTTTGCATTTAACGACCGTGTCACACTACATGGTACGATCCCGAACCAGATCCACGGGCTCTCAGGTTTCGATCTGGTACAAGCAAGATCCACCCGCTCCGCTTGGATGACTGACTCGCGCCACGCATATGGCGGGAGGAGGGAGGTGGATGTAAATATATATATATATATATAGAGAGAGAGAGAGAGAGGAGAAGCACACGTACTGTCAGTTTGGGAGAAGACGGCAACACGGAGCGCCCAGATGTTGAAGAAGCCGAACCAGACGGAGGCGAGGCGGAGGGAGCCGACCAGCATCAGCCACCATCCCAACAACGGCATCCTCCCGCCTCCGGCCATGCTCCCGCTCCTCTGCGGCGACGGCGCCACCTCTGCTCTGCTCGCAGGATGGAGATCGGCGCCGGCGGCAGACGGGATGGATGGAGGAGGTCGCTCTGCGGCCGGCTGCCTATGGCCTATGGGTCATACGCACAGGCCCATCAGGCTGGAAATATTTCTTCTACGAAAAAAGTAAAGTTCACCTAAGGTCCCTTATCTTGTCGTCGAGTTTTAAAACCATCCCTGAACCGGAATACCAGAGGTAATGGATCATTAATCTGGTATAAACTGAGTCACCTTTTGATCCCAAAGCAATATTGCTCTCCGATTTTGGTGACATAGTGGCTGAGTTAGTACGGCCCCACATGTCAGCCCACAATCTTCTTTCACCTCTCTCCTTTCTTCCCATCTCAACCCAAACCTTCAAGGGAGCTGACAATGGGTGGGGAGAAAGGCGGCGGCCAGCGGGGACAAGCTCGACGGCTGAGTAGTATTAATTCTATCTCTTTTTTTATTTCTCTATGTGTGAGTGGATTTTTATTTTAAGATTTTGTGAAACAGTAGTATTTTATATGTTGTACGAATATTGTTAATTTTTTAAAGATTCTTTTATAACTATTTAAATGGTGTTTTCAGCTACCCTCTCAATTTTAAAACTATTTCCCCACATGGTAGCAGCAGCTTGTTCAACTTAGATACAGTACAGTACTAGCTCCTAGATGGCACCTTGCATGGCGGGCCAGATGTGTAGTACTGCAGCTGGTTGCTGCCACTGTAATGAATCGAGAGACCATAGATGAGTTTACGCACGTCGAGACGTGCAAACATATGCAGGTGCTGCAGATAGATGATCATATACCACTCCACTATAGATGTGCAACATTATCTGAGGAGGAGTAAAAAACAAGGAGAGATCGTCGATGTGTGCGTGGAGTGGACCATGCAAACACCTGATCTGATCTCACTTGAGTGAGAGACTGGCAGTAACAGTAGTCAGTCCTAGCAGTATACGGACATACAATTAAAATATTAAACATAGACTAATAATAAAACAAATTACAGATTCCGTCTGTAAACTGCGAGACAAATCTATTAAGCCTAATTAATCCGTTATTAGCAAATATTTACTGTAGCACCACATTGTCAAATCATGATGTAATTAGACTCAAAAAATTCATCTCGCAATTTGCATATAAACTGTGCAATTTGTTTTTTTTCATCCACATTTAATGTTTCATGCATGTGTTCAAACATTTGATGTGACGAAATTTTTGGAAGTTCGAAGGAAAATAAACACAGCCATAGTCTATTTGTTTTTATTTTCACAGGGTGAGTAGACAACACCTGCTGCCTGCTAATAGTAGAGCGCATCGATCGAATGGTGAAGCTAGCACATCGATCAGTGCAAGGAGTAGTCTGTTTACAAAATCGTTTGATGGTACTTTCAACTTTCAGATGAGTCGTCGCTGCAGTCTTTAGCAATGCAAGCGGCAGCCTTGATCAGCAGAGCACCTACTTCCTCCATAAAAAAAAAACCTTAAACTAGAAGGAGACGTGACCGACGATGAATAGTCGAGATTCGTAGTTCCAGGAGTGATTAGTTTTTTTGGACGGATGGATAAAAAAACTTGTTGGATTGAGTAGCTAGCTAGTTGTGCAGGCCTCTCAACATTTTGGCTTCAGCCGCTTGTGAGCACTGACCGCAGTCCGCTGAGTAATGCATGAAGGCTGAAAGCTTGCAATACGTACGTACACTCCAGTAGAAGTATATGAAAATCCATCTCTTGCAATTCGGCCTTGTTTAGTTTCTAATTTTTTTTTCTGAAAACATCACATTATATCTTTGGACACATACATAGAGCATTAAATATAGATAAAATAAAAAACTAATTGCACAGTTTGTATGGAAATCGTGAGATAAATTATTTAAGCCTAATTAGTTTATAATTAGCCCTAAAGTACTATTGACCTTAACTCAACCAAAAGAGGAAGGAAAATAAATAGGAGAAGGTGCGGGAGAATGGGAGATGACGAGAATGACGGTGACCAATAGCTAGCCAGTCATTTTTCTGTTTATAACGGAAATCTCAGAGAGGTAATAAAAGTGTAAAATATCAATGGAGCATAAGAATCCTCTCGATTATTTTTCTTTGTTTAATTTTACAGCACATTCAGGCAACAGTTACATTTGTGCGCTGTATTACAAGATAGTTATGTTGGGATACGTATAGGCTACGATAGTATAAAAATTAAAATTTTCTATCACGTAAACCAGGAACCATGCAAGTATTAGATCATAGATTGTTACCACTCGACACGCTGCGCAGCGGAAGAAGACGCTGAGAAGTCGAAGGAACTCTCGCGAAGTAGCGCGCGTCGATGTAGAGGAAGTAGTCGATCGCACCGGCTCGACCTTCTCCTCCTCGTGCGTTCTCCTCACCGTACTCCCACGCCGATCAGCACCGCAAACCAGCGGCGCCTTTACCGGTATCCGCACGTACGTACAGGGACAGAACGCCACGCGCAGATGTGCTAGCACCCGCGCGCAGCTAGGGTTTTGCTCGGGGAGGAAAGTGACGGCTAGGGTTTCTCACGTGATGCAATGCTCCGCCAGTCAGACCCCTCACGAATATATAGGATCCATCACTCGGGCCTTCAAGGCCCGTAGGACTCCTATTCGGATCCCTATCCGAATTAAGCTCATATTGGATCTCCATTGTCACGCCCAGAAATTTAGCCCAAATTTCCAGACTATTTTGCGTATTAAATCCCTGTCCAGGACCAGCCAGGGTACACAAAACGACAAGTAATATACAGTTCCAAACGTAAATACAGCGTAAAATACTTACAGAAGAGGCACTTAGTCCTCACACCGAAACAGAACGACAGCAGCGGAAAAAGGCGATCTTAGCGGGGCTTCAGCTCCACTCCACAGGCAAGACTCAACTGGGGTCTGAGCCTTGGTCTTCTAACTTCGTCTTCAACTCAGAAGTATTACACTTCTGAAAAGGGGGAACAATAGCAAGGCTGAGTACAACCACCGTACTCAGCAAGCCACACCAATGATGCAGACGTGCAAGGGGAACACAAGGACGGTTTGTGGCTATTTGCATAAAAGCGGTTGTAAAGCATTTTATTAAGCAAAACAGTAAAACAGTTGAGTAATTAAAGTAACCTTAAATCTCCACTGATCAACGCTACACCACGTTGAACAGGCCCAACCAACCCACCTGAACTACAGTGCATTAGGTTGATTTATTAAGTGTGAGACTAATCACGGTGAATCTGGTCGACCGCCCATAACCGCGGGCACGGCTATTCGAATAGTTTTACTCTGATCAGAGGTGTACAACTGTACCCACAAGACACAGCCCCACGACACGTTTCCGTGCGCCGACATGCCACCACGACATACCGGAAAGAGGCCGTGACAGGACCCTTCGCATAACCCCCTCTAACCAAGCACACCACACCTTGTCACACCCCAATCTGATACCGCCGTACAACGGCACCTGACAGGAGCGTGTCGTAGGGAAAACGGCGCGAACCGCTTCCTACGAAACCGCGATCTCGGTACCAGTCCCAGGACATAGTGCTGGTACCCACGGTGACAAATATGAATCATAGCAATCCTTAAGATAAATAGAGGACTTATTTACCTTAACTTAGGTTATAGCTCAGACAGCCCGAGAATACAACCGACGACACGGACGAGGCGAACACCAACAACAGCAGCAGCAGCGGAACCAACGGTCTAACACCCAACACCACAGGCGACGGCTGGGAACCAGGACGAAACCCTAATCTTCACTTCACTTTATCTTCTCTTCAGGGCCGGGGAACTATATATATATATATTTATATAGAGCAAGGGTGAGTACTTTCGTACTCAGCAAGTCACGGGAACTTAGGTGTTTAATGCAAGCTTGGAAGAGAGGCAAGGTTGTTTTGCAAATCTTTTATTTGAAGACATTTTGAAATCACTAAGTGATTTATTTCTTTCTAAGTTTGGGCCGAAAAGAGACTTGCGTCTCGATTCGACATTAAGAGATGTTTTTCAACAGCTCATTTAGTAATGTACCGACCTCCCGGGTCAGATCATTACTTCTCGGCTCCCAGAGCCATTCCACTTGATTAATCGGCTCCCAGAGCCTTTTTCATTTTCTCGGACTCCCAGAGTCCAGCTGCCCAGCAGCACAACAATCCGCTTCCACTCGGGAAGCCTAGTCTATGATGCCCGCAGACATCCCGAATCACACAGATTTGTTTCTGACCACTCAGGTCGTCCATCTGCCACATAGGCTGATTCTGGTTACGATTCCCACACCACAACAACTTTTCACAAAGCACAGGCAAACAAATCTACGCAACGGGAACCACCTCACATCCGCCCATGACCGTGGGCACGGCTGTTCGAACAGTTAGTTAACCTCTGCAGAGGGGTACACTTTACCCACAAGATACGAACTTATTTCGAACACCCGTCGGTATCGGAGGTTCGCAACAAAGCCTTTCCCAAGCCGACCCAGGGTTACCTCATGCCACATAGAAGGATCAAATCCTCACATAAATATAGGCCATTTCAGTTTTCACAAATCAAACTCCAACCACCTCGATCGGTAACCTGGCAAGCTTCGCATTCTTGCCTTACCAGGAACCCGGGTTGGCTCCAATCGACCCCGCCCCGGCGTTCCCCAACTATTGGCATGCGAGGTTTCCCTGAACCGACTAGTTACTTAGCCAGGGTGTCCCATTCCACCTTGTGGTTGCACTTTGATTATGTTCGATGAGTTTCCCATAGGAATCGGTCCTTATATGCGAATACGGGACAGTGCCACATAGGCACAACCTCCGCATCGCGAGTTTTCACAATTCATTTTATTTTCAAACACACCGACACCACATGTCGGGTTTTGATGGCTTCACAAACCCATTTCCCAAGTTTTCGACAAACAACGGTGTATGTGGGATATTTGGTATACGCGCTCAGAGAGCACGAATACCGAGGTACCACAAGGGTGGAGCGACAAGGAATCAGGGTAGTATGACCTACGAAAATTAGTGCGACTACTGGGTAGGTCCGTCGATTTGGCATGCAAACCGAGGCCAAGCAAGTTAAGTGTGTGATTCTAATAATGCA